CGACCGGATCCAAAAAAAAAAAAAAAAAAAGTTTCATGCACTTTTCTGCCCAGGCTGGCTTCAAACTGTGATCCTCAGATCTCAGCCTACTGAGTAGCTAGGGTACAGGTGTGAGCTACTAGCACCTAGCTATAATTGCAATTTAAGATTCTGCTATCTAGTCATCATTGAAAATTACAATGAAAATAAAAATGAGAAGAGTAATGTAGATTAAGACATTATGGAGGCATACATACTCCCTTTATCTATCTCCTGTATTTTATAAATTTCAGTCTTCTTTTAAAACTGCTTTTCGTTTCAAGTATTAGCATAAAACACAGATAAGTACCTGAAGGTGCTCCAACCCATGCCAGACCAAGAACACCGTCATCAAAATCTCGGTCTGTGAAGACATAGGCTAAACAGTAGTCATCATGGTTCTGCTCAGAATTCAATTCCAGAAACTTCTCCACACCAATATTTGGGAAACGGAAAGGATTTGTGGGGTCCTTTTCATCAGCAGTTGTATTGATCTAAAATCCAAAACAGTAATTTAAATAAGCAATTCATATCAGCAAAAATCTTAGTAATAAGCACCTACTTCCGCACCTGCCTATGCTTCGGGCCAAAAGGAAAGCAAGAAGGCTTCTAATGATGTTCCCACTGCCCACATCCCTGAGCTGATCACCAAAGCCAGTGAGTGAGTGAGTGAATGAATGAATGAATGAGAAAATGACAAAAGTAAAAGAGCAAGGCAGTGCAAAGGAATAAAAATTGAAGATGTTGGGTTTGATGCATGGCTCAAGTGGTAAAGTGCTTGCCCTGCAAGCATGAATTCAAACTACTGGGGGAAAAAGAAGGAAGAGGAGGAAGAGGAGAGGAGGGGGAGGGAGAGGGGAAGGAAGGAGGGGTAGAGGGGAGGGGAGGGAGAGGAGGCAGAAAGGGGGAGGAGGTGGGAGGAGGGAAGAGGGGAAGGAAGAGGAGGAAGGAGGGAGAAGGGGAGGGGGAAGAGAAGGAGGGGGGCAGAAGGAAGAGGGGAAGAAGGGGAGAGGAAGGGAAAGGGGAAGGAGGGGGGAAGGGGAAAGCCAAAAAGTTGAAGATGTCAAATTTTTGAGCAAGTATTTACTAGATGTCTGAACATGGAAGACTTAGAAAGAACAGTTTTGCTTTCAAAAACTCTAATAAACAAAGAGTGATTTATCACATTCAGTCATTTGTGCAAGTCTCTGTTAGTGATAACCTCCTACAGATGGTGCTATATATATGCCACGTATCAGTGGCTTACATCTGTAATCCTAGTTACTGAGGAGGCTGAGATCTGAGGATCACAGTTCAAAGCCAGGCAGGCAGAAAAAAATCCATGGACAGCACCCAGGCTCTGAGCTCAAACCCCAGGACTGGCATAAAACAAAATCAAACAAAAAAAAGATATAAAACCCTATATTTTAGCTAATTAGTATAAATCAATACCAAGACTGTCAGTTCAGCAGATAAGTCGCTTTCCTGGTTCTCTCTTCCTAGTGTCAGAGGAATGAGTTAATTTATCTTCCCCAGATGTGGGCAAGACTTTTGAGTTCTTTCTACTTTCAACTCACATCTTTTATGAAGTTACTGCAGATCCCTTCATTGGATATTTAGCTATCACTCTCCTTGTGCCAGTTCTTCCTTCATGATATGAAGAATAATCTACTCTAATGCCAACTTCCACTGAACAAAGCTTTCATTTATTAATGTCTCCTTCCTTCTACCCACCCCACCTGTCCCAGTCAGTCTCAGACAGTCTGACCTTCCCCAGGTAAGTCAGTGAATTACACATAAGACTTGATAGATTTTAAAGGATACCTATGAAAGAAAATCTTTTTCTAGAAGACAAACCTCAGTCTATGTGAAAAATGCTGGTAGTTAAGGGATGATATGGTTGATGATTTAATGAAAACTACAGGCTGTTTATATGAACTTTGCCCTCTAGTAAATTTTGAAGGCATAGAAAGAAGTAAGAAGGTAAGAACACAGCTGAATGCATCTGCCTCGGGACAGAATTCAGAAAATCTGGCTTATCCATTAACAATTAATTAAGCAAAAACATTTAGAGATAGTCATTTCATGTAAAGAGAACAAGGAGGGGAAGGGGGAAAAGGGCAGGGAGGAAAGGAGAGAGGGGGAAGAAGAGATGAGAGGGGAGAGAAGGGGAGGAGAGAGGGGCATTTTCTGATTCTTCAGGAACATTGGCTGTAACTAACAACTATACTTAAATTTTAGCTACCTATATTAAAAATGACTGATTAATATTTAAATAATACTGGTAGAATACAAATTTTAAATTATTTAACAAGTCATAATCTTCAACAGATGAGATTTAAAGTTTTCATGTCAATTAAGGTCTGAAAACAACCAGCTGTCACATTATTTATTAATATTCAAGAATTTCTTCATAATGCAAAGCTTTTTGCAAAAATGTTTCATCAAAATTGGTTCAGGTGTTCTCTATTTTTTTATACATTTTGTCCACTATATGGCAACACTTAAACTACTTAGCACTTGCACTTGCTCTTTTAAGGGTCTACTCATTTCAGAACACATGAAGACAGACAAACATGGAAGCCCTCATAAATCTACAAACCCTATTTCACCAATGCCAGTCCAGCTTAAGGCTTAACTATAATACCTTCAGCTATGTTTCTTATTACTATACATGCACTAAAACTTTGTTTACAAATTCAGATATTTTGTTTTTTTAAATTGTCATTATAAAGGTGATGTATGCTATCAATCCCAGGATTAGCTTTGAAGTTAATATTCTCTGCAGCTCTGAGAATAAAAATAGCAACTCCTTATCCATGATGAGCCAGGAGGATTTCAGATCATCATTGAACTTTCTAGATGACAGGAAGCAGCTACATAAATGATATCCTTGACATATACTTCAGTGAGCTTAAGACAGAAAGATAACTTAGCAATTTCCCAGAAATGCCTGTGTTTTCATAGAAAAATATTGCTTTGCGACACAAATAGTGTTGGTAGGAAGTTAGACTGGAGAGCAACAGACCTGGGGACAACAGTTAGCACCTAAGAGGCAGTCAGTTATTGTTTACAACACATTTCTGGATGAAAATGAAACAAAATTAAACAGACATATCTGCTTCCAGTAAGAGTTTATTTTTTAACCTGCTGGCTATTTTTGCATGTAAAAATAAAGGGAATGATCACTAACAACAACAACAAAAAAACATTAAGTATTTGTAACAAAAGAATGTTTTGTTGGCTCTTACAGTGTTTATAGTGTATGTTGTTGTATTGGTGTGATCTAAATGCTTTGACAATTCATGGTGGAATGAAGGTTCTGGTCAGGCTGAGAGGCATTAACCTGTAGTTTCAGCTACTTGGAAGACAGAGTCAGGAGGATTTTGAGTTTGAGATTAACTCAAGAAACTTAGTAAAACCCTATCTCAAAACAAAACAAAACTATAGAAATCATATAAACAGGGGGCTGGGAAGGTGGCTCAGTGGTAGAGCGCTTGCCTTGCATGCTTGAGGCCTTGGGTTCGATTCCTCAGCCACCACATAAGCAAAAAAAAAGAAAAAAGCCTTAAGTGGCTCTGTGGCTCAAGTGGTAGAGTGCTAGCCTTGAGCTGAAGGGCTGAGGGACAGCCCCCAGGCCCAGAGTTCAGGCCCCATGACCGGTCCCAAAAAAAGAAATCATATAAACATATGTAAAGCTGCTACTGCTACCATTGTATCAGTATTAAAATGGTATCTTGTTTTTTTGTTGTTGTTGTGTTTTGCGGTCATGGATCTTGAACTCTGGGCCGGGCTGCTGTCCCTCAGATCTTCAGCTCAAGGCCACCACTCCACCACTTGAGCCACAGAGCCACTTCCACTTTTCTGGTGGTTAATTGGAGATAAGAATCTCATGGGCTGGCTTTGAACTAGATCCTCAGATCTCAGCCTCCTGAGTAGCTAGGATTATAGCTGTGAGCCACTGGCACCCAGGTAAAATGCATCTTTTTTTTTTTTTTTTGTCAGTCAAGGGGCCTAAACTCTGGTCCTGGGCGCTGTCCCTCAGCTCTTCAACTCAAGGCTAGTGCTCTACCACTTAAGCCACAGAGCCACTGCAGGCTTTTTCTGCATATATGGTGCTGAGGAATCGAACTCAGGGCCTCATGCATGAAAGGCAACATTCTACCACTGAGCCACCTTCCCAGACCCTAAAATGCATCTTTTACTAGCTTTTATGACAGATTTTATCTTGCAACCATTTGACTACCCTATAAATGGTATGGTTTCATTAAACTATAAATACTATGGCTTATTAAATTATTGCTTCTAAAAAAATATATAAAGGTGATATACAGAAGGGTTACAGTTACATAAGTCAGGTAATGAGTATATTTCTTTTTGGACAATGTCATCCCTTTCCTTGCTCTCAAATTCATACTGTTAAAGAGACACACAGACAGACAGAATCTATAGAGATATAGATATGTAGATTTTTTTTCCAAACTTTTTGAAATAGGCCCAATTTTACAGTGTAATTTTATATATTTTTTGGGGGGAGGGGGCCAGTCATGGGGCTTGAACTCTGGGCTTGGGCACTGTCCCTGGACTCTTTGGCTCAAGGCAAGTGCTCTACCGCTTCAAACACAGTGCCACTTTCTCAGTACAATTTTAATATTTACTTATTTCTCATTTATAACAGTAACCAGTAGTCCATTAGCTCTGGCCCAATAGAGTTTTGGGGGTGTTTTGTTTTGGTTGTTTTTGCAGATTTTTGGAATTTCAAGCTATGTCAATATAAAAAAAAAAAAAGGTTCTATGGTCAAATTAATTTAGAAAGATGTGGCTTTCTTTCCTGAAAGACTTTGTGAAACTCGAGAGCTGTGAATTCTCAAGATTCTCGTAACTTTTAGTTTCACTGAAACCCAGTTTCATTTCCCTCCCCACTGGCACACCCTGGGACATGCACTGGACAGTGCTGCACACACAAAGCTTAAGCAACTGGGGAGGAACTAACAACACATACTGCATCAAGCAGCTACAGGGGCCAGGGTAAGTCTCCTTAGTGGTAGGTTAGCCAGACAGAAAGCTGGTATATAGCCAACAGAAAGCAGCAGTGCTTTCCTCTGCTATAGAAGTCCAGATTAAGACCCTGCAGATTTAAGTCTTAAATCAGAAATGTGTATCTCCTGTGTGTGTGCATGTGTGAGTGTGTGTGTGTGTGTGTGTGTGTGCCAGAAGTAAAGACATACAGAACAACAGATACACTCTAAATAAAATCAGCAGTAGATATATTTGCAACTAAATTGTTCAAGGCACACATTTAAAATCCAGCACTTTTTTTTTTGGGGGGGGGGTCCGGTCGTGGGGCCTGAACTCTGGGCCTGGGCGCTGTCCCTCGGCTCTTCAGCTCAAGGCTGAAGTGGTAGAGTACTACTCTATCACTTGAGCCAAAGCGCCACTTCCAGTTTTTTTCTTTTTGTTTATGTGGTGCTGAGGAATCGAACCCAGGGCCTCATTCATGCAAGGCAAGTGCTCTACCACTGAGCCACCTTCCCAGCCCATTATTTATGTCAGTTGTGGGGCTTGAACTCTGGCCCTTGGCAGCATTTTTCTTTTTGTAAGCATCATCCTTATAGTTTCACTTCTTAAATGTCTTGTTGTTGCTTTTTAAATATAATTTTACTGTTACTATGAAGGAGTTATACAGAGGGGTTATAATCTTGTAAATCAGGTAATGAGTAAAATTCTTCTTGGACAATGTCATCCCTTCCTTCGCTTTCCCCAGATTAAATGTTTTTAAACTACTGAAGTTTCTTACTCTTATGCGTTTCACCATGAAACTGATGTTCCGAATCCCAGAGAAGTCTGTGGTCTGATAAATTGTATCAATCGCTTTAACATGACTGGATATCTATCAATTAAAAAAAGAGAGAGAATAACATTTTAGAGGTAGTGTTGAAATAGGAAAAAGAGCATAGTTAAACTAATGTTTTCACAAATGAGCTTAATACATGTCTAGCATGTGTGAAGTCACCCCAAAAAACAAAACTGCAAAGCTTAGTTTCAATAACTTTAGGCTCCTTTACAAAATCCCTTTCTCAACACATGTTTTGAAGGCAAGTAGAATATCCATCCTAACTGGTCTTTCCCTTGTCTCTGCACTTGGCTTATATTATTTGGCCACATCATAAATGAAAGCATTCTTTTCTTCCAAGAGATATGCATTAACTTTAGCTCAAAGGAAAATATAGATATAATAAAACAATATGAGAACTTCTAAATTAGGTACAGTAGTAAATACCTGAGCAATCACAGCTTCTCGTGTTCCATAATACTTAAAGAAGAGATGATCAGTCTGAATATAAAGCTGACACGTGTTCCTCTCAGCTAAAGTTGTACGTTTTTTCCTCAGGAGCTCTGGCCCATTAGCAGCATGTTCTTCTTGAGGTGTCTATACATCAAAGAGGCATTTCTACAATTAGTATGCTTTAATATCCTTATTTTATAGTTCTGAGTACATATATTAGGCAATTTCATATGATATGTTATTACCCAATACCATAAGTGTTTCCAAAGCTATTAAAAGTTCCTTATAGTAGAACTGAGACCATTAGAGATTGGGATAAAGGCAAAGAGTACTGGCATCCAGCCCTTGGGTTTTGAGACAGAGAATGTAGTTCAGGCTGGCCTAGAACTCACAATCCTGCCTGCCTGCTTCAGTCTCAAGTGCTGAGATTACAAGTGTATATCACCATGTCCTGTTGGTATCTTCTTTTAGTTAACATCTAACACCCAATCTACTACCCAATCCTATTAAATAAATCTTCTAAACACCTAAGGAGTCTAGCCTTTTTCTCCAGTTATACCTTTTTAGCCCAAGCTATCATTTCTTATCTACAGTATTTCAGTAGGATTGACTTAATCAATCTATATCCAGTATACTCCATACTACAATTTGTCCAAAATGAAAATGAGTATCTGACCCATCTACATCATACATCTCAGTAATTCCAATTGCTCTAGGATAAAGCCCTACAATTCCTTATATGTACCACCCAATCAGTACCTATCTAGCTTCTTCTCATTCCACGTGACTCTATAAGGAAACCCTGCTACATGACCCACTTCTGACTCTCCATGATATGGCTAAGTCTGCTTCCGTTTCCCTTCTACACAGCCTATCTGCGTGGGGCCCTCTCTCACATGCTCGAAGTTACCTTTCCTGTCTAGTTAATGTCTTCCTTCAGACTGAGATGTCAGTTCATCCACTACACCACTTCCCAGGACTGTGTTCCCTAACATAGCACAATTTTACATTTATTTCTGTCATCAGTCCCCAATTCACCACCACCACTTAATGATTAGATTAAAAATTGGAGAAACAAGGGGCTGGGAAGGTGGCTCAGTGATAAAATGCTTGCCTTGCATGCATGAGGCCCTAAGTTCAATTCCTCCGCACCACATAAGCAGAAAAAAGCCACAAGTAGCACTGTGGCTCAAGTGGGTAGAGTGCTAGCCTTGAGCTGAAGAGCTGAGGGACAATGCCCAGGACCAGAATTCAGGCCCATGACTGATCCAAAAAAAAAAAAAAATTGGAGAAACAAGCTATCTCTGTACTTGTCTCTCACTATATTGTTATCACCTAACAGATTTAGCAGGAAATAGTAGACATTTAGCAAGTATTTCTTTAGAGAACTGTTACTACTGTTGAATTAAATACTTGGGACATATTTGTCAATTTCTAAAAGCATCATTTAAAGGAGATTTTGATAACACAATCATACAGAACCTGAATTAAATTTTAAGCCACACTCCAGATTTACACTCACATTTTATACCTTCCTTCTCCCTTGTCAATTCCCTGTGAACACAAAGTTAAAATATTATATCACTCCATATAAAGGGGGTAACTGTTGACATAATGAGTATGTTAATCTGCTTTGCTACAGTAATCATTTTATGATCTACACGTTATAATATCATACATTTAACTACATATAATAAAATTTACTTTAAAAAATATAGATGAGAAACAGTACCACTGAAAACTAGTTACTGAAGTCCTAAAGGGTATAAGATTTGGGGAAACTGACCCATGAGCATGCCTTTAATTCTATTTTGGTCATTTGGATGGCTTTCTAGGTCTCAGTCTGTAGAGTTCATAAATGACTTCAATACAGAGAAGCAGTATATATTTGTGTCATACAGTTCATATTAACAATGGTTATTTCCTATCAGAAGAACTGTATATTAACTGGAGTTATTATTGTGTTTTACATAGGCAAGATTTTCTACTTCTGGGGGAAAATCTCTGGTCTAATATGAAAATATTTTCTAAGGAAAAGTTTTTAAAGTTTTAAATAGTTTTAAAATCAACCTTCAATGTGAAGACTTCTTCACATTCATCAAGTGGTTCAGACTGTCCATATCTTTATTGGGTTTTACTTTTTGTCTGACTAATTTCTCAATGGCTAAAAATAGGTTGTCGTCTACTGCTCCGTTTATTTTTGTCCAGTATTGATAGAAAACTTTAAACTGTTATAACATTGTGAGGAACTGAATCTTCTGTTGCTACAAAATGCTTATTTTAGTAAGTGTGTTTGCCTAAAGTCTATTTTCATGTTAATAAGATACAAATTTGCCATCCTCAAATTTGATATCTTGCCCCCTTTTACTTTCATTCTTTTTAGATGCTTGTGAAAAAAATTATGCCGTATTTGGTTAAATCTAATCTGGTAATTTTTTCCTCAGTACATAAATCTAATTCTCATTGATGAATTACTGATATCTTTGGGTTTAAGTCACAATTTCATTATTTATTTTCAATTTGTCCTGTTGGTCCTACATTGTTCTTTCTCTCCTTTCTTGCCTTCTTTTGGATTACATATTGCTTATTAGCTTTTCTTTGAGGAGGAGGGATTCCTTAGTTGCCCAAATTGATCTCAAATTGGGACTCAAATAACCTTTCTACCACCTCAACCTACAGAGTAGCTGGCATTACACTATGGCAGGTTTCTTTTAGCTTTTCAGTTATATATTTTACTGTTTTAGAAGTTAATCTAGAGATAATAATATAATCGTTCACACCAGAAGTTAATATAAATCATTGGGCTGGGAAGGTGGCTCAGTGGTAGAGCGCTTGCCTTGCATGCCTGAGGCCCTGGGTTTGATTCCTCAGCACCACATAAGCAAAAAGAAAAAGCCGGAAGTGGCGCTGTGGCTCAAGTGGTAGAGCGCTAGCCTTGAGCTGAAGAGCTGAAGGATAGCGCTCAGGCCCAGAGTTCAGGCCCCACAACCAGACCCCCCCCAAAAAAAAGAAGTAAATATAAATCAGCACCTTTATCTGTTCACAGAAAATGGGAAAACATCAGAACACATGAATTAGTGTCCTCCCTCCCAGCTTATTTTCCTCTATATTTACAGATACAATGTATGAGTTACACAACCCCAAAAATCTTTTTATTTTTGTCGGTCATGGGGCTTGAACTCTGGGCCTGAGCACTGTTCCTCAGCTCTTCAGCTCAATGCTAGCGCTCTACCACTTGAGCTACAGTACCACTTCCGGTTTTCTGGTGGTTTATTGGAGGTAAGAGTTTCATGGACTTTCCTGCCCGGGCTGGCTTTGAACCATGATCCTCAGATCTCAGCCTCGTGAGTAGCTAGAATTACAGGCGTGAGCCACTGGTGCCCGGCTCCATAAATCTTTATTAATACTTTTTCATGTACAGTCAACATTCACTTAAGATTACCCACTGTATTATTCTCTGCTCAACCCTGCATCTACAAGCTAAAACCTGAACTTATCATCTTTTCACTGGAAAAAAAGTCATTGAGTGTGTTCTGCTGGTTACTCCTTCACTTAGAATATCTTCATTTTATTGATCTATTTGCATTGATTACAGCACTCTAGGATATCAGGCACTCAGGTTCACCATAATCCACTGCCTTCAGGCTTCAACTGCTCTCAGTGAGGCATAACCTTGCATTTTTAACTGCTGCTTCTTTGAAAGTGATCAGATTTACTTCCACTGGTTGCTCTTAAGACTGCATCTTTAGATTTCAAACTTTTCTGAGAATGTATTAACAGCAGTGATTTTGCATTTTTCCTACCCAGAGCTTAATAATCTGTTGATGTCCCTTCTTACATATTTTAAATTGTCAGCAATTAATTGTCACTATTTGACTCTGCACTTATTGCCCTTTTGGGTGGGGGAGGAGGGGACAGACAAGAATTATACATGTTAGACCTAGAGGAAAAAAAAGAAAGGAGCACACCATTTTCTTTGTCTTGAGTGTATTTATGTCTAATACCAGCTTGAACCCTTCTCTAGAGACAAGGTCGCATCACCTAGCTACCCCTGGTCACTGTGCTAAGTTCCCAAGCATAAGGTGGTTATAAGGCTTTTGCCTCATAACCCTGGTTACTCAAGAGGCTAAGATCCCCAGGACCATGGTTCAAAGCCAGACTGGGCAGAAAAGACTATTAGATTCCATCTCCAAAATAACTATAAAAAGCCCATCAATAGTAGATTGTCAGCCATGAGCAAGCAAGAGACTCTCAGTTCAAGCCCTGATACTGCTCTCCCCATTCATTCAAGGCGATTGTGACTCGATCATATGTTAGGCCTTCTTACCGTTCTATCTTACCGTTCTATCTATGTGTCTCCTGTCCTTTTCCATCCTTTCTTTCTTAGCAATTTATACTATTTTCTTATGACATACTACCAGATCCAGAGTTCTTAAATTATGTCATTATATTTTCAATTCCAAAATACCATCCCTTTCTTTTACACATTTTAAATTTTCTGTTGAAACTGTAGTTTGTCTTTCTATACTTCAATATACTTGAGTCTGTCTGATAATCTCATTATCCATTTTATCTTTATCCTGAGATTTCCAATTCAAGACCACACTTTTGCCAGACTGGTGCTTTACCACTTGAGTCAAACCTTTCACCCTTTCATTATCTTTCAGATACAGTCTCTTGTTTATGCCCAGGCCAGCCTAGACCACAGTCCTCCTACATAGGCTTCCTGAACTTCTGGGGGGACAGTAAGCCCCATGACTGACAAAAACAAACAACAACAACAACAAAACAAAAAACCCTTGCAATCCTGCCTCTCATGTAGCTTTTAAAATTACAGGCAGGAGCCACCACACCCAGCCAGATACTTTTAAGTTGTTTTCTTTGTTGCATATTCACATACTCATTATTTTTAACTGACTACCAGACAATGCACAGTCACTCCTCCATGTGTATGGGTTCTACATTAGCGGATTCAACCATAACCCAGTATGAACATTTAAAGAGCAAACTGAGTATGTATTGAACATGTAAAGACTTTTTTTTTGGGGGGGGGGCGCCATGGGCCTTGAACTCTGGGCCTGGGTGCCGTCCCTTAGCTCTTCAGCTCAAGGTGAGTGCTCTACTACTTGAGCCACAGTGCCACTTCCAGTTTTCTGGTGGTTAACTGGAGATTAGAGTCAGATCTCAGTCTTCTGAGTAGCTAGGATTACAGGCATGAGCGCCTGGCCTGTAAAGACTTTTTTCTTTCCATCATCCTTTCCACAAGACAGCAGAAAAATGATTGAAATAGCTTTTACATTGCATTAGGTATCATAAGTAATCTAGAGATAATCTGAAGTACAAAGGAGGATGTTAGTTTTGGCTTTTTGCAACAGGATCAGGGTACATAGTCCAGGATGGCAGCTCAATTAACAATTCTGCTTCCACCTCCACAACACCGAAAAAAAAAAGATGTCCACCATGACAACAGGTTTCCACTTCACTTTTCACAACTCCCAAAGTTCTCAATCATTCTGATCACCATTCACGATATACCCCATACTAGCGTAGAAAGAAACCAAGAAAAAAGTATTCTTCTAGATCCATGGTGGATTTCCATACATTGAAATACAGAATTGAGACAGCTTTCATGTTTATCTCTTTGTTGGGACAGCCCTCTTAGAAATCAAATAATTTTCAACTGCAGTAAACTTCCTTTAGCCAAAATATTGTTTTTCTTCTTCCTCTTCTATATACACCTTAATTTTTATTTCTGTCATCTTGACTCTCTCATGTTTCAATTATTTTCTTTCTGAACTTACATGTGGATATTGTCTATTCTTTTAATGTCCTTTAATTGAGTTTGTCTGTGTTGACTGCTACAGTGATTAATTGGCTGTTAAACCTCCATTAAAATTTTCACTTCAGGGCTGGGAAGTTGGCTCAGTGGTAGAGTGCTTGCCTCACAGGCTTGAGACCCTGGATTCGATTCCTCAGCACCACATAGGCAGAAAAAAGCTGGAAGTGGCTCTGTGGCTCAAGTGGTAGAGTGCTAGCCTTGAGCTGAAGAGCTGAGGGACAGTGCCCAGACCCAGAGTTCAGGCCCCACAACCGACAAAACAATAATAATTTTTTTTCTCTTCAGATAATGCACTTTTGAGTTCTAAAGTTCCACTTGATTATCATTTCTATCCTCTCGTCTCTGTGTTAATAACAACTTTAATTCTTTGAACATATTAATAATGGTTGTTTTAAGGTCTTTGTCTGCTAATGCCCATATTTTCTGTTCCTATCTGGATGGTTTTTCTTTTGTTTATAATTAGACTGTTCAGCTTCTTATCATCTAGTAATGTCTTTTAAATGCTGGAGAATTTGAGTGATACATTGTTGACAATATAGATTTACTGTCTTCCTTTAAGAATTACTAGAGCATTTTCTGACAGGCAAAAATTTATTTGAGAGTAACCTTGACTTCTTTTGAGATATGTTTGTCTGCTTAATTAACAGGTGGGTCTGAGGCAACCTTTAGGGCTCAACTAGTCCTGTTCCTCTCATGGATTGAGATCTTTATAGTTTTTCATTTCATGAATTTCCCAGTAGGTTTCTTCACATAATTCACAGCTTGATAGTCAGCTAAGTTACTAGAGATCTCAGTCCGGCACTGCCTGGTATCCAATGTTAGGATATAACTGTTGATATGCATTATTTTATTCAGTTTCCTAGAAGCAGTACTGAAGAAAGCTTAATTAGATACCAGCTATTTTATCATAGCTGGAAAGATAAATCTGTACTCTTCTAGCTTCCAAGTTTTCATTTTAGACATTTAATAATTAAACTCATCTGGAGTTGTTTTTTTTTAATATGACATAAGGTAGATTTTCAACTTCACCTTTCTCCAAGTGGATGAATGTCATTCTCTGTCTCCATCAATTCAGAGGTCCACATATTTTCCTACTAATTGAAGATCACATCTCTTATCACATAACAAAGTTTAAAATCTATAATGGATCCATTCCTGAGCATTCTATTTTATTCTCTAGTCACTTCATTCAGCTCTGTGCTAACATTACACATGAAATAATTGCAGCAAGCTGGGTGCTAATAGCTCACAACTGTAATCCTAGCTAGCTACTCAGGAGGCTAAGATCTGAGGCTCACAGTTTAAAGCCAACCTGAGCAGGAAAATCCATGAGACTCTTATCTCCAATTAACCAACTGAACACCGGAAGGAAGTGGCACTATGGCTCAAAGTAGTAGAGCACCAGCCCTGAGTGCACAAGCTCAGGAACAGTACCCAGGCTGAGTTCAAGTCCCACAACTGAGGGGGGGGAGGCGCAGAGAGGGAGGGGAACTGCAGCAAAATACAGTTTTGCAGCAATGCATATAGGGCTCAGGTGTCTCTCAGGATACCACTGAATGATGGCCTAGCATGTGTGAGGTTCTAGTCCTAAACATTGGAGGAAAAACACTTTATAATAATAACAAAATACAATGCATATAAACACTGTGTATATTTTATCTTCACCAAATATATTTGATGGGTTGCCTATGGAGGAGGAATGGGGAAAATAGAATAAATGAATACAACTAGAAAAGAACTTGACCCATGGACCAGTGAAGACTATGCTGAAGAAAGTAATTAAGCCACATCTCTGGAACAAGATCCTAAAGCCAGAAGAAATCCAGGGAAGCCAAGAAGGGTTTTATTTGGAGTGTACAGCCCTGTGGCTCCTGGACCAGATATAAAACTACAATTTTAAAAGGTCAAATGGAAACCAAAACACCAACCTCACAATTAAAATACCAAAAGCACTGAGGTGTTTTTTTTAGGGGGTGGGGTGGGGGGAGAGTGCCAGTGCTGGGGATTCAACTCAGGACCTGGGTGCTGTCCGAGTTGGTTGTGTGTGGGGGGGGGGGTTGCTCAAGTGTAGTACTCTACCCACAAGAGGCACAGCTTTACTTCTAGTATTTGTTTGTTTGTTTGTTTTATACTTAATGGGAGATTAAGAGTCTCACAGATTTTCCTGCCTGGGCTCATTTCAAACGACAATTGTCAGATCTTAGCCTCCTGAGTAGCTAGGATTACAGGCAAGAGCAACTGGCCCTGGAAGCACTGACATTTTTATTAGGGTAAACAACCATTTTAATTTCTCTAGAGATACAAGATTTCTAATGTTAAAATGGCAATACCAGCCATGGTGGCACATGCCTATAATCCTAGCACTCAGGAGCTGAGAGAAGAGGATCCTGAGTTCAAGGTCAGCTTGGGAAAAATAGAGAGGCTCTGTCTCAAAACCAACTATAATAACCCCATACAAAAAAAGAGAATACCCAGGCAAACTCCTAATCTTAGTACTACTACAAATACATTCATATAAAACAATTCTGATTTGAAGAATATATTGGGGGCATTTATTTTTTTTATTCACACAGACTTGTATTCAAACCTTAGCACCATCACTTTATTATTACCTGGTATAAACATTAAAAAAATATAAATACTGCACCACAGTAGCATAAATCTTTCAGAAAAATTTAGAATATGTATTATAAAAGGCAAAAGTCCATGTCCAAGTTCATTTCCATTTCTTAAGTATTAAAAAATAATTTAGTGTTAAAAAGCTTTACCTGTGCTACTTCCTCCACTCCAGTCATCTGGTACTTTCTCATCCTTTCAAACACTGAATGGTCTGCACAGCCCCCCTGTGGACCATATTTATGGGGATAATCTACAGCACAAGAAGAAGAAATACTGTTACTGTGACATGTTTAGACAAAACCAACTGTTAGAACTGCTATAATTAACGAGCATCATAAATACTTATTAAGCACCTACAAAAAAAGATACAATGCTAAGTGCCTTAATTTTAAAGCCCAGGAGGTCCATCTATCAATAAAAAACACACTAGTCTCTATCTTATTAGCCTTGGAAAATAAGACAATAATCATTCTTCATTCTAGATTTAACTTTCCCAACTTTTCCTACTTCAGATAAATACATCTTCAGGTTGCAAATTTATTACTTTCTCATCACATATTAAATTTACTATTCTACAAGTATACAAAAGCTTCCTTGACTTGAACTATAACCAGGCTAATATAATGTTAATTTTGGCTTGGATTCCTTTTATGAACACCAATTGGCCTCAAAGAAAGTGAAGTAGAAAAATGTTCCATGAAATGACCAAAATACACTGAGTTTAAATTCATTCAATGTATACTTCAAATTAATGCCTTAAAAATTAATAACCACCATTTGTTTTCTTCATAAACATTGACTGACACTGTTTAATTTAGTAAATCACTTAAATGCCTATTCTAATCTCATAGGTCTACATACTTCTACATAGTTCATAGTTAAGATCCTCAGTTCATGAACCTATTTTATAATCCAATCTATTAATCACACTGAGAACTGACAAAATAAAATCCCAAGACACTGATATGAGGAACACTGAATGATTCCTAAGTAGTTGGAAAATTAAAGAACATACTGAAATATAAACATTGCAGGTAGTTTCTTAAGAAAACCCAGAACTTAATATAGGTACCAGTTTAAACGATTTCATTAGAATATTAACTTGAACTGGGCCAAGTGCTGGTGACTCACATCTATAATCACTGCTATTCAAGAAGCTGAGAACAAGACTGTGGGAAAAAATGTTTCTGAGATCTCATCTGAACAGAAAAAGGTGGTTATAGTGTATACCCCTAACATCTCAGCTATGGTAGGAAGAGTAAATAGCAGGATCACAGACAAGCCAGCACAGGCAAAAAGTGAGACCCTGCTGGGCGCTGGTGGCTGTAATCCTAGCTACTCAGGAGGCTCAGATATGAGGATTGAAGTTCAAAGCCAGCCCGGGCAGGAAAGGCCATGAAACACTTATCTCCAATAAACCACCAGAAAACCCGAAGTGGTGCTGCGGCTCAAGTGGTAGAGTGCTGACCTTGAGGTGAAGAGCCAAGGGACAGTGCCCAGGCCCAGAGTTCTGAGACCCTATTTTCAACTAAAAAGGGCTGGAATATGGCTCAAGCATTATAGTTGCCTGCCTATGTCTGCCTTCAAGGATGAAGCTCTAAGTTCAAATCCAAGCACAGC